AGCAAGTTCGCTACCGAGGTAGCGTCGGTTAGCACGACACAGTTCAGCCTTTCGCAGGAGTTTCGCCTCTTCCAATGAGCGCGCGTCTTCCACGGGCTGGAGTTAAAAAAAGAAGAAGAGGCAAACACATCACAAGAGGCGACCCAGTAGGGTCGGGGCTCAAATAAGGAGGGAAAGAGACTTGCGTGGTTGATTGGAACGTATCGCGGAGGTGATATCGCGCCAAAGCGGCTGGCGTGGGAAGAAGGCGGATCGAGACGGAACGGTTTCGGCGACGGAGAAGTCCTGTTCCGGAATGCGGACGTGTGAGTCTGAGTTGTGGAGGTCCGAAACTGCCGACTTGGAGACGGTGTCGGGGGGGTTGTCTGGGTTGCGCGCGGTGACGAGGGGACGGTGGAGGAGAACGGGACACAGCACTGTAGAGGAATGGGGGAGTAAGGATAAGGTGGGGGCACGAGGTAGAAAGTGGGACAAGGGTCGGGAGAGCAAGGGGCTGAGCGGTGACGCGGGGAGGGTGCAGTTGGAGGAGGCGGAGGGGGAGGAGAAGAAGAGAAGTGAACTTGGCGAGAGTTAGAGGCACGGGGATCTGGAGTGCAGTCAGGGGGACATGGAGGTACACTGGGGTCTGGTGTGCGGGAACGTGGAGGAGTCGAAGAACAAGCTTCCGGGGGGTTGAGAAGCAGTCGCCAGGGGTCGGGCAGAGGCGAGGTCTCTGCTAACGGGGGCGTCTGGGGCCCTGATTTCTCGAAAGAGCAGTTTTCAGAGTGGTAATCACTGTAGTTTCTTATCCCTTGCATCAGGTGCTTCTTCAGTGTGGCAAGGACATCTTGTGAAGCCCTAGGACCTAGGTTCAGGAGCTACGAAAAACGATAAACAAATAACGTTCGTAAAAACTCCGTATTTGCTCTTTTCTATGGTACCTGAAGCGTGCACGTGAAAATAGCAAATTTAAATTACAGAGACCATCAAAACAACATAACCCAGACGAGCTGAAGGCACAATCAGATCTCCATGTTTAGCCATTTCTACAAATTACCGACACATTAGGCATTTAGAGAAGTTATTCACATTTGCAGACGTGAGGTTCAAAAAGAGGTGAACAAGTAGGAAGATTTAATGACCAAGAAAATAGAGCACAAAGTAGGGGTACCTGAAGCTCAACAGCCATTTCCTGTGCTTCTTCGTCGATAAAGTTGCGTAATCGATCTGACTGCGATGGCTCGCAAGGAGGCGGGCAGTGCTAAGCAGAACAGACAAAATAGCTGTAACTTCGATTAAAATGGAAAGAGTAATCATTTTAATTAAAAATCGCAGGTTTCAATTACGAGGGCAAAAATTTGACACATAAAACAAGAAGAGACAATCGTGGAACGATTTAGTGACGACAAATACGACGACGTGGTGTGATGTGAATGTGCTATAAGCAGCCTGCAAATTGGCGACATCACCAAAGAAATTACTAAATCGTCCTATTTGGCAGGCATTGTGGGAATTTTCGAGGTGCCTATATTAATAAAATCCAAACGAATGGCGAGGGAAAAATTCAAGCATTATTTATCTCATTGTAACCGTTTACATGAAACCTAAATGCCAAAAAATCAAGTGTACACAGATATTTCTTAAATTTGACAGTTCGGTGACTAGTTCAAAGGTAAAGGGAACACAAAAGAAAAAAGAAAAACCAAAAATGGTGAAAACAAGAAGGTAAAAAACAATAACTACCTTTGCTAAAATCTAGAAGTCTTTTCTTCGGACTCTTGGAACGAAAAATCGTCAGCTACATGTTCATTATACTTTTAAAATTGTTATTAATAATCACCCAGATTTCCTTAATTCGGAACTAATACAAAACTACGGCAAAAATCTAATATAAAAGCGAAAATTTTAACCAGCCAGATTGCAAAAATAGTTAAAAGAGAAGTCAAGTACATGCGAGTAATCAAAGGCAGTGCGAATAAATTAAAAAGGGGCAAATCTTTACAGCGAAATACCCCAGTACCTGAGGTCGATTTAGCGTCAATAATTTCTTTCGGTTTGTTGAAGACTTAGGTGATACAACTTGAGTATCATGCGGGCTAGTCATTACAAAAACGATACTACCAGAACAGAAACAAAATATTGCATCACTCTGCAGGCTACAAAGAAAAAACCTCTGGTTATAATTGGGCGACCAGATAAATTAAGCAGGGCGGCAATAATCTAACCACTTAGAATTAAAGTTGTTTGGACGATAGCACAAAATAATTTAATAAACAAGATTGAATTGCCGCGACTTTCGTTTTCGTTCTTCATCGGGATTTATTCAACTATGACCAATATAATTGTCTTGCTGTAGTAAACTAGAAACAAAAATAGATGAAATAGTCTCAAATTAATAGTGTTGTTTCTAATTAAGGCCTTTTTAAGCCAAATATGTATATTTTTTTCACTTAGATTTACTACAGCAAACTCCATCTGCAGTTCAATGAAAACTTTTTTACCATGCATCCTGCATGCACTCATATTCTGCATTTCAAAAAAATTGCAGATAAGAGATCAAAGTATATTGTAAAAGTTTGCCTCAACAGAACATTTAATACACAAAGTACTTCACATAATTGTTTTAAATATTTTCAAAGACTTTTATTTTTGTAAGAAACAAACTAGGCATTTTTGCAGGTCATTGTTTTGTCTTTCGTATTAATGTTTGATCCAAATAGCAACGAAAATTATCAAATGTCTTTGACTTTACCGGAATCTTTTGCTTTTTTGGTCTTATTAAAGACAACGAACTTGAAACATTTATATCGAGAAAAACTACCAAGCACACAGGCATTGTGACAGAATCCAGCACAAGTTTTAGAAAGCAATATTTTTTAATAAAATGTCTGCTAAATTAAACCTGTTGAAAAACATACTACTAATTTTACAAGATTGGTAAAAAGCATTGTAATGACAAAATGGCAACTAAATAAATGGAAGCATAACTACGAAATGTTCATTAATTCATTTATGACTTGTCAGGATTTAATCAATAACACGTTTAAAGTGCATAAATAAAGCATTATGCGTCACTTAAACTTACTATCGGTTGTAAAATTGAGATTTATAAATTGATCTTCAAATCTTTTTCACCAACACGAAATTTCGTTCCAAAGAACTTAAATTGAAGACAAAATTTTGCAAATGCTAACGAGAAATAAAAAATATCTTACTTTGTCTGTAGTAAATGACAACAGGAAAGTAAATATTTATTTCCACGTAACTAGACACGCAATGTTTTCGACGATAAAATGGCAGAGCCTATGTGTGACTTTGGCATTTTGAACTGATATTCGGATTTGAGTTATTTGTAATTCTCATAATTTATTGATGACTAATAAGGATTGCATTGTATTTTTGAACTTTTTTTGTTTGTTTTCGTGGGCCGCCCTTTTGTGCGGCAAATCTGATTATCGTTTCTTTGTATTTGGTTGTGTGTAAGGATCATTTTTCCACTTTCCGTACTTTAATGAGTGTTGTGACATATAATAATATTATATTTGTTACATTGCGATACTAATTTTTTTTAAAAACGTATAGGGTGCATTTTAATTGGCTACATTGGTAATGTATAAATGCATTTCCATCTGATCCTGTTTATACCTCTTAATCACAATTGTTGAAGACTGTTCCACCATTTTTTGATATGAATTCGAATATCTTTTAAGTTGTTTATATTGTCTTAAAGTCGTGTGGTGTGTAATTTCTTATACGCAATTAGCCAATCGATACAAGTACACCCTATTTGTCCGAAAGCAATTTATGACTGAGAATTACTTTCTTATTGCATAGTTATACTTTTCATGTACCTTTTTAATTGGAGCTGTTTTCTCAACCAACTTCATCTCAAATAACCCGACTAACGAACCGTGTCCCTTCTCTTTATTGAGATTTCTGAGACAATATATTCTCCATTTCACGCTGTCTACAGAAATGTGGCCCCACGAGGTAGTTGTGCACATCAGTGGTGTGATGTACAATATTTCGCCACACAACCTATATTAGAAATCGCTTTTTTTTAAAAAATCAGATTGTTAATTCATTAACTTGTGGTAAAAACAACCTCCAGCTCCTTCCCTCTTGTATTGACTACTTTGTGTACGAATGAGTCAGACAAGTTATTTTGCGTTTTTTGCATCTTTCATTCCCCCATGATCTTCAGGCAAAATGCAACAACCTCAGCAAATGCAACACCCTCCAAATACTGCCCCTCCGGGGAGTACAGCCTCGCCGATGGGGCAGATGAATGGCCAGGAGCCCTCACGGCCACAGCAATCTCAACAAGTATTTCCATCCGGCCAGAGTGGTTACGTCAGCACTTCCATGCCACCCGGACCTCACCCACCCCCCACAGTTCATCACCAATCTCCAATGTCGACTCAGATGCAAGGTGGCGCACCTCCTAACGTCATCGTGGGTCGTCCACAACCCCTTCCAGGTCAGGGCTATGAGGGAGGACCACCACCGCCCCCACACCCCTCACCGATGTATCCACCCCACCCTGGTGCAAATTACAGTGGTGGAGCCGGAGGTACCACCTTCCCGCCCCCTAATACTTCGGTTGGTGGCCCCGTTCAGCCTTCCGCTTTCATTAAAAGTCAACTTGGACAACTTCGAGCCCAGATAAGTGCTTATAAGCTCTTATCTAAGTCGCAATCGGTGCCTGAAAATATCCTATTCTTGGCCGAGGGCCGTGTTCCTCCTGCTTCTACCCCTGCCCCTGGTTTTCACAGCCACCAACCGAGGGCACCTGTGCCGGCTTCGAATGCTGCACCACCTTCACAGCCCGGTCAGGAAGTCCCCTCACAGCAAGTATATGTGCAGCAACAACAAGGTCGCCCCTCAGCTAATTTTGCCCCACACCAACTTCCCGTTAGGTGGAATTATCCGGGATACTCCGGACCCGCGCCAAACGCCGCTTTCATGGCTGCCGCGCAGGCGCCACTCATCGGACGCAGTCGGATTGGCTCCATTCAACGCCCCCAGGGTCTCGATCCAGTGGAGCTCCTAAAAGAACGCGAGCAGCGCATCCAATCGCGCATTGGGCAGAGAATACGCGAACTGTCCGCGCTTAGTGTCTTCTCTACTCCGGAACAACGGCTCAGCCTGGAACTAGAGCTTCGCTCTCTGCGTCTGCTCAATTTCCAGAGACAGCTGAGGCAGGATATCGTGTCTGCAATGCGACGCGACACTAGTCTCGAGACTGCCCTTAACATCAAAGCCTACAGGCGTCCGAAGAAACAAAGCCTTCGTGAGGCCCGGTATACGGAAAAACTCGAGCGACAAATGAAACACGAACAGGAGAAGCGCAGACGTCAGAAACACCAGGAGTTCCTCAATGCCGTGTTGAGCCATGGTCGTGAGTTTCGCGAGTACCATCGGAACGCCAGTGTGCGTATGTCAAAGATCAACAAAGCAATTCTCACGGCCGAACGCGACCGACGTCGCACTCAGCAGCGCATTGACCGCGAGCGTATGCGTCGCCTGATGGAGGAGGATGATGCCGGCTACAGGACTTTAATCGACAAGAAGAAAAACAAACGTCTGCACTACCTGCTAACTCAGACGGACCAATTTATTGACAACCTCGCGAAGTTAGTGAAGGACCACAAAAAGGAGCAGAATAAGCTTCGCATGAAGGACATTCGAGAACGCTGCAAGGCCGCGCAGGAACGGTGCTTGTTGAACGCAGTGAACAAGTACCACGCTCTCGCGAAGAGCCTAATCCTTGAGGGGGTCGCCCCGCCCACTTGGTTGAACACCCTGCCGCCGCCAGGCGTGCACCCCGAGGAGCTGGTGCAGGCCAGTCGTGAGTTGGCGTCCGGCAAGGCCCCAATGCTCACCACGATCCCCTGGCCGGACATCCGTCTGCCCGTGGCGAATCCCAGCACCAAGGAGATCCTCGAAGGCGAGTCTGCGCCCTACGCCAACGAGGCTCACAACTGGCTGCAGGAACACCCCGGTTGGGAGGTGGGTTCTCTCCTTTTTTTTGTAACCACTACCGTTTCCATATTCTTCTTTTGAAGATGTGTTCTTGTCCTCTCTCTCAATTTTAGTCTAGCCTTTTGCGCTTTTTTGCATTCTTGACTTAAATGGCGGTTCATTCGTTCTACAATTCCAGATTCTTTTCCTAACAGTGTACTTTGTGAATAATGTGTGTTCCAGGTAGATTTTTATGCTTTCCGAAATGGTAAAATGATGCAACTAGCAAACCGCAAACCACAACTGATCGCTCCTGTTTTCCCAGGTATCATTTTATTGAAGTCCACTTTCAAAATGTCGGCGTTTAATTTTTTCGACTACTACGAAATCCCAATAGTGGCTACCTTTTCAGTTTTGTGCCGAGGAAGCCATCAGAAGTCACCAACCACACCTCAGGACCCCCTTTTTTTACTGCATGATTTGGTGAATCTCTCTAATCACACTGGTTTACGTAACCCGGCTGTCTTAGCTGTCCTCAAGGGCTGATCTGTTTAAACAGACCTCGTCTGCTGAGGCCTAGTTTCCTTTTTCAGACAAACATGCCGACATATTTTTGCACGGAAGCGATGAACGAGGTCGGAATTCAAGCCCCACAAAAATCAGGCGTTAAGCATGAGTTAATAATACGTACAAAGCACCGAAGTATAAAAGTGTAGCCTACTGAGGTTATGCTGACTGCGTAAATGACGTTTTATGGGTGAACCAGATCAGCTAACTGAAGGGGTTAGGAAGATGTAACAAACCATTTTGTGTGTGTAGTGTAGTGTTCCGGGGTACCGTAGCGCTACCAACGTGTTGGCGATTCTCCTGCTTAACACCGAAACAGCCTTATACTAATCTAGGATAGTTGGCTTCCATAATACCCCATTGGCCAGTTTTCTTCTCTGAATGTCTTGTTTTTCAAGTCAGGCATTCACTTGAAGATGTGTCCAGACTCCTTGGAATAGTCTTGAAAGCTGTCAACCAAAAGACTTCGGTACTGGTACCTAGGTGACTAGGATATCTTTGAAATACGCCTTTCATCAAGTATGAACACAATTCGCGTCAGTTAACATGTGCTGTGGTTGATTAACAGCACAACGTACTTTATCTGCGTCGGTGGCGTTATCGCCCCTCGTAAGTAACCGGTCTTTACGTCTTCTCTCATCCGCAGATTGCTCCGACAGCCGAGAACGGCGCGGTGTTGGTAGACCTCGTTGAGGAGGACGAGGAGGCGTCGGCTCGCAAGAAGAACGGCGGAGCTGACGACGACGACGACGCAGTCATGGACTCCGTTCGTGGCAACGAGGACGACGAGTACAAGTCGGGCGGGAGTCAGTCCTACTACACCCTGGCCCACGCCATCCGTGAACAGGTCAAGGAACAGGCCTCCATCCTGGTGAATGGCAAGCTGAAGGAGTACCAGATGCGTGGACTCGAGTGGCTTGTCTCCCTGTACAACAATAACCTCAACGGAATCCTCGCCGACGAAATGGGCTTGGGCAAGACCATCCAGACCATCGGCCTCATCACTTACCTGATGGAGAAGAAGCGCGTTAACGGCCCTTACCTCATTATCGTTCCTCTCTCGTAAGTCAATATTCTGCGTGTCATGGGGTATTCGGCCATTTGATCTTTTCACCACGAAATCCTTTTTTGTAGTGTCATGGCGAATTGGGCGATGGAATTTGAGAAGTGGGCTCCGAGCGTGAAGAAGATTCTCTACAAGGGCTCCCCCCAGTGTCGTCGCGCCCTCCAGAATCAAATAAAAGCGGCCAAATTTAACGTGCTTCTCACCACCTACGAGTACATCATCAAGGACAAATCTGCCCTCTCCAAGGTAATGGCCTTGTCAGTTAGTAAAATACGATTGACTGCACTAATACGCGTTGTAAAGACTGCATGAGTAGTGTCAAGTCTTCCTCCTCCTCACCCTCTCTTCTGTTTCAAGGTCAACTGGAGGTATATGATAATCGACGAGGGTCATCGAATGAAGAACCACCACTGCAAGCTGACGCAAATCCTCAACCACCACTACAACGCTCCCTACCGCCTCCTGCTCACTGGCACTCCTCTGCAGAACAAACTTCCCGAGCTCTGGGCCCTTCTCAACTTCCTGCTCCCCAAAATCTTCGACAGCTGCAACACCTTTGAACAGTGGTTCAACGCCCCGTTTGCGGCAACTGGGGAAAAGGTGCGTAGCCGGCATATTCACGAAACACCCCTAACGCTTGGTCTGGAAAGGGAAATTTTCTAATTCCCACAAATAATCCTATTCCGCTAGCCCCCTTTTGTGTTCGGTCGATTAGTTTTAAGGGAGAGCATACGTGACTTCATTCCTGCCATGCGAAACGGTGAAGGCTGGATCATATTGATCCCCGTAGACGTGAATTTGCGGTCCTTGCTCCTCAATTTCGTCTCACCGCGACTGTGTGCTCGTTGTAGGTTGAACTGAACCACGAGGAGACGCTGCTCATCATCCGACGCCTCCACAAGGTGCTGCGACCCTTCCTTCTGCGTCGTCTCAAGAAGGAAGTGGAGTCGCAGCTGCCGGAGAAGGTGGAGTACGTCATCCGCTGCGAGATGTCCGCCCTTCAGCGCGTCCTCTACTCGTACATGCAGTCGAAGGGCGTCATCCTCACTGACGGCTCGGAGAGGGACAAAAAGGTGTGTGTGTGTGTACACCTACTGGCTGGTTTTCATTACCACTTCTTTACAGTGCTAAACCGGTACTCTCTCTCTCGCCATGTTCAAGGGCAAAGGTGGCACTCGCACGCTGATGAACACGATCATGCAGCTGCGCAAGATCTGCAATCACCCCTTCATGTTCAGCCACATCGAGGCGGCGATCGCGGAGTTCCAGAACCCCCCGCTTCCGGGCCAGCCACTACCGACGCAGGTCGAGGGCAGGCTGCTCTTCCGGTCCTCGGGCAAGTTTGAACTCCTCGACAGGATCCTGCCGAAGTTGCGCGCCACCGGTCACCGGGTTCTCATATTCTGCCAGATGACAAGCCTCATGACCATCATGCAGGTTCGTTTTTCCCTCTGGTCCTAAATCATGCATCATGCACATCAGTAGCAGAGCTAAGAATTGTCTTGGATCCTCTCAAATTGCTCATATGGTCGATTTATCCGAAAGATTGAACCCACATTCACTACACATTATACCTCTTCTATAATTTCCCGCTAGGATTACTTCGACTACCGCGGCTTCCGCTACCTTCGACTGGACGGTGCGACGCGTGCCGACGACCGTGGCGAAATGCTGAAGGAGTTCAACGACGAGTCGCAGGAGTACTTCATCTTCCTCCTCTCGACGCGTGCCGGCGGCCTCGGGCTGAACCTCCAGACGGCCGACACTGTCATCATCTTCGACTCCGACTGGAATCCTCACCAGGACCTCCAGGCACAGGATCGCGCTCATCGTATCGGCCAGCAAAACGAGGTTTGTGCGGTCGCGCATTAATTAACCTCATTTCTTTTTCATATTGCATCTTTTAAGGTGGTAAATGCTCTTCCTTCAAAGTTATTTACTGCGAATAAGTTAGTTTGGAAGGCTTTTTTGGTGCTGCTCAAGTCGTTGACGATTTCATGTGTGCGTTGCCGACAAGGCGATCTGTAAGGTGTTGGTGTAAGCATGTAAAAGCGAAACTACCCGCGTCCTAGCGTTACTGGTTATGCCAACCAACAAAATGGTATTCGACTTGTGGTGAATAGACAAATGCCTCCACCGCTCTTATGACACTTTTGAATGCATCCACAAAATTGTTTTGCTTTTCACTTACCTCCCTAATTGACTATGCGCCCTACATTCCACTGGGAAAATGGGTATCAATACCTTGAGTTAAATTTCTCTGGAAGCTGTACATAGCCAGATTTAGTGGCTAATTTGGGCATAATTGGTAAATCTGTTGCCCTACACAAACTCTCTTGTTGCCTGCAGGTGCGAGTGCTACGACTGATTACCATTAACTCAGTTGAGGAGAAAATCTTAGCCGCTGCTCGCTACAAACTCAATGTAGACGAGAAGGTCATCCAGGCGGGCATGTTTGACAACAAGTCGACGGGTTTGGAGCGTCGCCAATTCCTGCAGAACCTGCTTGAAGCCGACGACGAGGCAGACGAGGACGAGAACGAGGCTCCAGACGACGAGACAGTCAACCAGATGCTGGCGCGCACTGAGAAGGAGTTCGACATTTACCAGCGTATGGACGCTGAGCGACAGGTCGCCGAACGCCAGCAGGCCAAACCGGAGCCGCGTCTGATGGAGTACAAGGAACTACCCGACTGGATTGTTCGCGATGAAGAAGAGGTACGCCTTCTTTTCTGTTTTTGGTGGCAGTGATGAGATACCCTTCATCATTCCTTGTTTTCCAGGTGGAGCGGAGCCTAAACATGGACGAGACCAGCCTGCTGTCGATGCGTCGTCAGCGGAAGGAGGTGGACTACTCCGATGCTCTGACAGATCGTCAATTCCTCAAGGCCATCGATGAGGGCAGTCTGGAGGAGGCTGAGGAGAAGTCACGTCAGAGGAAAGCCAAACGCAAGAGGAAACGAAACGAGGTGTGTGTACTACGCTTGAACCACACGCATTTACTCTGCCCTCTTAGCTCCCCTGCTTCCTGAGCATCGACAGTGGTGTACTTGCTTTGGTTCGTCCAATATGCTCTGTGGCTCCAAAATCACGATGTAGCATTCCCAGGTGGTCCACATCTGTCTACCCAGTTCTCCTCAGGCCTAGCCCCCGTGATATCTGATGTGTTTGCGTGTCGGTCACTCCTTTGCTCGAATTTTTAGTTGACATTGTGGAAAAAGTCCAGTATTCGCCACGCGCAGTGTGGTCCCAGCCACCGGTTTCGTGAATCGCAAACGAGCGAAAGCATCATCTGCATTGCCACGAGCCGATTTTACCGTCTCAAGAATGTCGAAGTGGGTCATGACCTCCTTCAACGGCTCACATCTCAAACTTATCAAACTCTGCCGTTTCAACACCACTTTTGTCGAATTATGCGTGTTTTCTTATTCCCCGCTTTCTCGGCTTCAGCCGGACTACAGTGGCATGGACGACGCGAGTTCCGAGGCGGGCAGCAGCGTGAAAGCGGCGCCAGCGGTGAAGCGACGTCGTGGACGTCCACCCCAGTCGTCCTCGGGTCCTCGTCGTCCTCTTTCGCCCAAGCTGGAGGAGCGCATGAAGCGACTTCTTCAAATTGTCATCGATTACAAAGACAAGTGAGTCTTTCTTCCTTGGTCGAGGTTGTTGTGTTGGCCAGATTACGCTACCCAGATGCCCAGGAAGATAAAAAAAGGGAACAGGAGATGGCTCAGCAATGTTGTGTTATTGTCCTGAATCGCTAAGAAAGTTGTTGACCAGTACAATTTGGGTGAGAAGAGTGAAGCAATTAGCGAGGAAGGTGCATGACTGGCAGTGTTGAGATTCACGACGTCTGTGTAGACCTCTGCCAGCCATATAGACTGAATCTCAACACCTGACGCTCTCTGAGATCACGCTCTGTCAGGTACAGTCGTGTGCGAATTGAACGTGCACGCTAATGTTTCCACTCTACCTCCTGGCAGAGACCAGCGTGTTCTGAGCGAGCCATTTATGAAGCTGCCGACGCGCAAGGAGTTGCCCGATTACTACGAGGTGATCAAGCGGCCGGTGGACTTCCACCGGATCAAGGCGCGCGTTCGTGACGGCAAGTATCGCTCCCTCGACGACCTCGAGGCCGACATTCTCCTCCTCTGTAAGAACGCGCAGACCTACAACATGGACGGTAGTCTGGTGAGTTGGCGCCTGTGTTGTGCGCGCTCTTGTTGTTGCTCTGGAGGCTAGCGACAGAGGTGTAATCTGTGTTCTGTTGCAAGCTTGGGTCTTCTTGTTTTTCATCGGCAAAGGTGCAATCTTCCCCACTTATGTCTTGCACGCAGATATTCGAGGACTCGGTGGTGCTGCAGACGGTGTGGACGAACGCGCGCGAACAACTCGAGGCCCTGGAGGGCACGGCGGAGGAGGACGACGACGCAGCAGGCGCTGGAAGCTCTCGAAGGTCCACAATACGTCACCCACCTCATCCGCCTCCCCAGCCACCCACCGCAGATGACACGATGGATGAGACTATTGGCGGCGGCGGCGACTCAATCGGCGCCAATCGTGACGAGGACACACTTGACGACGAAGGTAATGCTTCAACACTCAGGTTGGAGAATCACGCGTCTAGCAATTGAGGCATTTGTTAATCTATGTATCCATACCTCTTTTTTCGCAATTGGCGTATCGATTTATTGGTGTTTTAGACGATAGTAACAGCCGCGGGTCCTTTAGCACAAAGTCGCGCAAGAGCAGCTCCTCGCGGAAGCCCTCTTTCGCGCATTCCACAGCTCCAAAACCGCTCCCCTCGGAGTCGTCCTACGCCGCAGCTGTGCCAGCCGCCACCGCCGGTGGTGGCGGCGGTGCTGACGATAGTCCCGCCAACCAGATGGCGTCGACGTCCCTCCTGCCTCCACGGAAGGCGCGCAGCAGCAGCAAACCCATCGTTTTCGACAACTCCGACGATGAGGATGATGCCGACGATGATGTGATCGACGACGACGACGACGACGATGACGAGGATTTCTGAGCACCTCCGTCGCTTTTTATCAATCCAACCCCCCCCTTCTGTTCATTATAGTCGACCTTCATAATTTACGTGTGTGTGTGTGTCAATAAAATTTTGCAACCTAGCTCCCACTCGTGTTTACTTCGGTAGTCAGTTCGTGAGTGAATGGAACCACCAATCCTGCTTTATCTGTAAAAATGGCGGTGATTATTTTACGCCAGAGGGCGTACATTTGTGACCCTGGTTGGTTTTTTCAATGATGTGATATTTGTTTTGTGCAATTTCTGGGTGAGAAATTTGGTAGATGCCGCATAAAGCCAGCGTTTAACTGTTCCCCCACCAGCGAATGGAGTTACATTCACTCCGTTCGGAAACTCGTATCGTGGGATTGACGGCTTGAACAGTTTGGCCTTGGAGAAACACTCTAAGAAGCCAGTCTCTATCGAGCTTTCTCTGCCTTGCACAGAACCTGGAATTGACCATAGGAGCACTGGACGCAGTCTCGACAGCACTCAATTTTGATTAGAAACTCTCAGAAAGTTGGATTTACACGTGATAATCTACTAGTTGAAGGTAGCATTTACGACAATCGATGCATAAGAATCTCAGCGAATCGTCTTTGACGATCATGTGCTATCCGAATAGAGAACAACAGCACGCAGTGTTTGTAGGTATTTCAACCGATTGCTTGGACAATTGTTTACGGAGGAAACACAGCGGTCTGTTCAGTACTAAAGCGTTGACAACCTTCAAAATGCATTGGACGAAGGAGTGTTGGATTTCCTGAACTAGGGTCAATGTGTAGCACAACGTGTTTTTTTTTTCATACCATCAACTGGAGCGGTCAGGAACGCACTTTGCGACAACCAAAGGCCGAGACCTTTTAGAACACAGAGACAATCCCACAGCTTCTACGGCAGACGCTGCAAGTTTCAGGAAATCACGCCGCCAACGTTCTACCCACGATCACCATTAGGTGTTCAACTCGTTTAACCATTTCGAAATTCCCATAACGTCGAACTCAGAAAACCCGTCTAGTCAACCGCAACACAACGTGTCTTGGGTCGACGTACTGATCTATGTGCAAACAAAACTCGACCTAGTTCAATACGACTTTGGCTGGGTAGGTGCTAGTAGCGAAAGCAAAATGTGGCTTGTCGCATAACAGACTGCTGCCAAACGTTAAGTGTTTTCAGTCAAAAAACAACATACCATCACTGTCACACTAGATTGCCTGACTATCACATCATCACAATTGAATAAATGCGCAGTTGTAGTACCGATTCATGAGCTTAATACACTTCCGGACTTAGAAGGACCAGGGTGTGAGAAGCAGAACATCGAAAGCCGTGGACCAATATGGGGGAAGCTGGCTCTTGAACAGATGTTGAGCCAAATTGAAAGAAAACCAACTTTGATTGCCAAACCAAAACCGAATCCGCATTCAGCAATGAGCGCATTTCTTTGAGAACAAGAATCACAAAGCACTGACAGAAAAGCCATTATCAGCGACAGTGTAGCACCAGAATCGACCAGAATGATGTGGCCAAACGCGTTAAGTGAATTTCGAAGATTCTAACATACCAAACCACAAAGTAGCCTCCAACTTTGGATCGATCAGCCTCCCAGGGGTCAAAAAAGCAAGTCATATTTTGTGGTGAAACTTCATCTTGCATAGAAAAAGACCAACCAATAAGAAAAAAGATAAGTTCGCAAGGAGCGTGGCAGGGCGGTCATACGTAGATACCGACCCAAAGAGCAGCAAAAAGAAGTCCGGTTCCCATAAAAATTGAGGCCATAATCGCGATGAGGGCTTCTTTGAAGAACTCTCGCACGTACTTGGTGGCGGTGATTTCGTAGACGAAGAACCAGGCCATGAAAAAAGTGCCGATCGCAGTTAGCAGCATGCCCAGAGTGGGATACAAGGCAGGATTTAGAGGAGACACATAACGTGACATCTCAGATATCGGAATCTAAAATGATAAATCAGAAAGTCAGAAGACAGGACAAGACCACTAAGATGTGGGGACTGTAGGTTGGTTAAAAAAGGTGGTTTCATAATACATCTCCGCTGATAGACGAAAACAGCATACTGGCACCTTATCAGACTATATTAGTTACCAATCTACGGAGTACCCTACGAATGGGAAGAAGATGGAGGATCGATGGGTGAACGCACACTGATTTATACACAGTCACCCAAAATAAATCATTAGTTCAGTTTAACATGAATTTCACAACCACCGTTGTGACCGCTTTTGTAAAATCAGAACCAGCACTTGTGCTGAAACTGAGTATTTAATTGTGTGATTATATGTAACTAATAACTTTAATAACAGGTTTAGCATGTTCGGTTGCCAAATTTAACCAATATTTCCCAAAATCTCTACGAGCCAGTAACCATCAGAACCAAGAACTCGGAAACTCCAAAATTACCAAACAAAAGAGAAAAGAAAACTCTAACTGAACAATGTGTAGTAAACTTGTATCAAACGGGAGCGCGTGAAGCTTATTCATAAGTTGGTCGAATGTAATCAATTGTCGAATACAGTTGACGTTCGACATTCACTCACCCGCTCTGCCATAGAAGACTTGGGTGGTCATATGTAAACAAAGCGTGATATTCATTATCGTATGTCATGCTTTTTCCTCGGACTGTTACAGATTGTCGATTAGCAGGGTTGAAAAGTTCGCGCTAACGAAGCCGCTACAAATGCACGCTAACTAATAGAAGCATCGAAGCCAAATTAAGGATTGCAGAAAAACCTAAAGATGTTTTTTTTTCAAGACCTGTTTGCCGAAACATCTTGCAATAAATGGAGCAAAATTATTAATACACATCGACACACGTCCAGTTGAAAATAATGGAATTCGGTGACCACAATTGACAGGTTAAAATATATCATATATGAGAAGATGGCCTTTGTAAAACAAATTCATCAAAACTCTGAAGGACTTAATAGGAAAGTTGAAACAAGATCAACTGTCCAGAGGTAAAAATATGCTAATGAAATATTAAAAATGCAAGAAAAAGCACAAGCCTTACGCCAGATTCCATTGCGGCGGTCTAATACGTATAACGGATGGTGTATTAAAACGAAGGTAGTATTTAGTCTGCACCATTATCGTACAATTTAATACAAAATTTTACCTTTTCACTTCGTCAGCTCCAGATCTGACGATCTTTGTTTAATGGACTATGAAATTAAAATTTAACTTTACGCATCCGCAATTGGAACTTGTACATAAAATGCAAAAATAACATTTAGGCAATAAATAATTTTCTTACCTATGAAGATTGGGAACTGATAAACTTTTGATTTAAGTAACTTTAAACCATCATTAAAAACTAATTAGTACAAAATCAGTTTGCCTTTGGAGTCCAGTTTATCATTTTAATATCGACACAAATTTACACCTACGTCGGTTTTTTGATTGTAAACTTTGTGTGTCTATAGAAGATATTATTGTAATCGATCATGATACGTTGCGACTCTAATCTCTTACGCATGTTTAGGAGTAGTGATGTTCTTACCAAGCATAGAATACTTTTTTATTTGAATTTCTGATTTCTTGATACGCCTCGCTAATTGGCATTCATTCACTGATTTAGCTGTAAGCCGTGAGTGAAATTGATACATATAACTTTCAAGAATCGCGCTTTTTTAGCGCAATAAATTTTCAAGTCCTGGTTGTATTAGGCTTTGTTCATCTCACAAGTGTTTTGTGTCTTGTGATTCCACAACGCTCTCGATATAGGCTCTATCTTGGATCTAAACTTATTCGCAAGTAATGAGTAGCAAACCTTATATGCAAGTTAGAATAACCTCATCAATAATTTTTGTTTACATTAAGTGAATTTGTTAAGACACATTGTACATTTCTCATCTACGTTGAATGAGTTAGGAAGAATTTTCTCAAAGATTCATGAGTTATTGTGCTAATTTCTAGCAAAAGTTTTGTATTGAATATACATTAGTAATAGGATTGACAGAAATTGGGTTCTTACTGTTCAAAGTATAGAAATCCATTTTCTCGCTTGCTTATATTGAAGCAAATTGAATGCGTCGGTCTGATTAAGTTAATCAATGGCGATTGGTATTCAATGATCTTGGCCTAATTATTTTCAGTAAAAATCAATCCAGGTAACCTTATACAAGTTTAATGAATAAATTTGATTCTAATAGATGAACGTAATTTAGGAAAAAATTCTTATTTTAAAATGTGCAAGTATTATAGTTTTTGAAGGAACTCCACGTGGAGACAGAGTTTCTTTGTAATTTCCGTCATCTTTTTCTGTTGAAGAACACAGAAAGATAGTTTTGCAGCATTTGATAAAATTGCATTGTGTTTTCAATTAACCAATCCGCCCAATTAATGTCCTCATTGATCTGACGATTTTAACCTCACCTTTTGCCAAGAAAAAAAATGAGGCGAAGGTTTTCCGTCGTGGATGTTGATGGGTTCCCGGCAAATTACGATAATGTATACTAATGACCGCAGTAAAATAAGCAGCAACAATGAAATTCGCTTAGTTAATGCATATTTTGGGATTCATCGAAGATAACAAATTAAATTTAGCTAGTTTTGTAGCGTTACATGTGTATAAAATCCAAGAAGAATGAGTACACAAGTAAGATGTCCTTAGTCATCTTTATATTGAAATTGGTGACCTTAGGCGAGTCACTCATGGAGCCGCACAAGAAAGCCAATTATTCTTGTCTGAAAATCTGACATGGAGCGGGTGTGTAAGGTCACTCTGGTCGTTTGTTCCTTTAAATGGTGGTCGGTTTTAAGGCGTTGTAACATTTATATCTGCCTCTAATTAAAACAAACTGGACCATGATGCTAATACCAACGGAATTTCGGGCCTAAATCCAAGAATCAAACAAATTTGGTTTAAAATTTTGTTATATTTACAGCCAGTTTTTAGGATGCTGGTGAAGTTTCATGTAGAAATGGGAATTCGTGTAGGCACTCTCATTGTTCGAATAACAAGGCTAAGGAAGTTTTATCGCTATTAGTTTGATTTGAAATGGCACAGTGAATAAGCAACTGGAAATTGCGTGCTGAAGTAGGCATGACTACAATTTTTGGTTTCCTATCAGCCAACATATGGCCAGTTTAGTTTTATGTGAAAAATTTGACCTCCTGAAAACCCTTTAAAGCACGATCAGGCGTGGATGTTGAATTCGAAGCAGGTGTAATGGTGGTGCTAAAAAACCATAAAACACAAGCACATTTTGGGTGATCTGCTTTGTACTTTTTGCATAAGTTCAAATAAAATCAATTATGATCTTTTTTAGAAATTTGATGGAGTCATACCAGGTACAATTTCCAGCCCCTGATGTGGGTAGCCAAGTGACAATGCGCTTGCCTTTGAGGCGAAGAGCAAACTTCGCATAATAGCAGGTACCGTTCCACCATTTTTTTATATACAACTCCAGTCCTAAGCTTGCAACGCATTTACTACTGTGTTTTAGTAGGTAGTATATGCTTTTTGAGGTGTCTCTTTCATGAACCTCACCAGCCAAGTATGACTGCCAGAAATCTACACGCTTCAAAGTTCAACAAATAATGCTACCTTTTCACAGCACAGAGGCGATTTTGTAAAAACGATCGGAAAATTTAAACGGCCCAGATCCCTCTAACAAAACAACTCCTCAAAAACCACGAAATCTCTCATGGCAACCGACGGCATTTAAGTAGTTGGAAGAACAAATCAAGAATGTGTCACAAACACCTCTCTCTTAAGTGGCCACACACACACACACACACACTTGGAAATGCCAGAGTAATTGAAAGGATTCCTGCCATTTTGACGCCCAATCTATATTTAATCCGCTTTGTTCTAGTGAAATGTTGTTTAACATTTAAATTAGCGCGCCTTGAACCTCGCATTTGGTTAGAATTTGTTCGATAAATTTCCACAACACAGCCCCTCATTTTCGCACAATTCGCTCTCCAATAAGACAATTTAAACAAACAAAGATGTCTATCCTATTAAGACCTATAAACGTCGTATTCTCATCAAACTCGATTCACAAACCCACGGAAATTGAAAGTTTTGAAATGAAAGAAAATTGTTAGTTTAAGTGTACCAAAATTAATCACTTTAGTGTTAGGAATTAATCAAGAAAACTTACAAGCCAGTATAGCTAGGGACTTGCTTTTCTAAGTATTGTTAAAGCCCACATACCTACCTAAATGTATAATTTTCATTTGAAGTTCAACAACGACAAACACACAAGTTTGCGGCTTAATTGGCACTACACATGAGGTTTGTGCACTCTAGCAAATGTCACTTACCGAAATATTTTACCGGCAGTCAGTGTGGTTATCCACCGAGTTTATGGTAGTACGAGTTTCGTTGCCAATGGAAACACCTCAACGCTTCCTGACACTTCTCCTACTGTGTTATTCAGTTTATTTAAACAAACTCTTTAACTGACCCACGCTTGATTTGCAGTTTGTCACACGTAACGAGAACTACCCGTTCTTCCGGTGTAACGAACCAAGTTAAACAAACTCGCGGCAAATAGTTGGTTAACTTGGAAGGCCAGTTTAGTCCTAAAAACGCGACCCCTTCAAAGGGGGCTTGCTGTGCCTCGCTAACTTGATCCCACGTGCAACCGCATTTAATCGCTCAGAACCGAATGTGATTGGTCGGTTCGCACAAACTCCTGAGATAAATGCACATCATACAGCTGCCTCTGGTGCACTAAGCGTCTTCAGCGCTCAGAGGACACACACCGGGCGTGTGACTACAGCAAGTGAGTGCCTCTTATATTATCTCTTACTAAAAAATTGAGTTTTGCTGTTAAAAATTAGATCCAATTCGACCATCCAGTCCGGTGTAAATTTGCCGCGTTTCAATGCAGTGCACTGCGATTTTGTAACCCCCGCGCTTAGTCATTTGTCCAAAAATCGATAATCCGATGGCCTGATTAGTGCATGCCGTATTTGTGCAAACTCTAAAGAATTTTCCGATAAAAATTATTTGTCGTGGCAGGTTGAGACGGTCTACTCTTGGTACCGTTGCGAAACACTAACGCAATATCCTGCGGACTGTTCCAACAACTTGGACGTTGAGGGCACTGAAGCAAAGTAATTGTGCACTTCGATCAACAACACCGTGTATACAGACCCACACCATAACCAGTCATCGCGCAGACATGTTGACCAGGCCTAAATTAAACCCATCAGAAAGATGATTTATGCATTAGAGTAGTGTACATGGTGCCACTCACGCAAGCCCACACCAGGAATGGACTGCGATTTGCTAATTGGAGACAGTTTAGTGTGAGAGACGCCCACCGGTGCGCATCCTATATAGGTAGTGGTTGCGTCGATGTGGTTAGGTGTCACACCAATCCACGGAGTGTAGACCTTTGTACATGCAACCAGTGTAAACCACGGCTGTTGAAATAAGTGGCTACGCGATTCTGCTCGCTTTACTCCTTTTCAATGCCCTGCTTTGCCAAGGAATGAAATTCTGGCGACTCAATCACCCCCTGCTCATCGCCTCGCTCCTGTGCCTCTTCGTGAGCTCAGCCAGCCTTGCTCTCCTGCTGTCGCTCGATCGAATTATCGATTGGAAGATAAGCCAGGTAGGTTGGTTTGTGCAAAATCGATTTTGTAAAGCCAAGGGCTCATGCGACGGAGTCTTGCTTGACTGGAAGTAATTTGTGGTGGCAATGAGTATGCCCCTTTCTTGGTCTTGTGATACCTTGCACTGTACCAAGAGCAATTCAGGTCATCATTGGTTAAAATTTTATTATTCAATTAGCCCAAATGCCCATTGTCACTAATACAACCCCCCTAACTCTGAAATACAAATAATACCTTCTATTTGTTGATATATATCAAGTAAATATTGATTCAAATTGTTCTCCTTAGCCAATCATTTTTCACTAGATTTCTTTTGTTATTTGCATGTTGATTTTAAGTGATTTCCCTACACATGATCCTGTTGCGGAATCGATCGTAAACGGGACACATCCAGAGTCACATAGAAGTACAACACGACCCCACTGTTTAATTCAACAAATGTTAACCACAAGTGTGCATTTACAATGAAGGTTGTCCATTTATTTATCAAAAAAGTGTTTTCTAATTAACCAGAGAATTCATTTTCGATTTGTGGAGGATTAGAGACATTTTTGTGGTTTAAATAGACAGTGAAACTTAGAAACGGCTCCGCTGTATTCGATGCCTGGAAGTCAACTAGGTCCCCGAGCAAAGTCGTCATCTACATGTACAATCTGACCAACCCAGAGGAGACGCTTCAGGGTCAAGCACCACACTTAAAGGCCATTGGACCTTACGTCTATTGGTGAGTAGAAAATCCACAAATGCCTCCGCAAAGTTACTCCGCAGCTTGATTAATTTATTTGTTTAAAAAAGAAGTGACAATTCCGAAAAGCGACCTTCACTATGAAAAATCAATATCTATTGATTAATTTTTCATGCAGTTCACACTAGTTGGTATTTTTAAATTGTCACGCATTAAAAATGTCTTTAATTCATGGATAATTTTTCCTCCTTGTGAGGTTCTTTAGTTCGAAGTTAGTCCATACTGTGATTAGACAGTGAATTTGTGATGACATGCCAGCATTGAAGGACCGAAATAATCAATTAATCAATAATCAGTTTGTAAATTGTAAATACTATATCATAAATATTAATGAGGTTAATTATTTTCTACTGGAATCTCTTGCCCAACCATGAATAAATTGTTATCTGTCATTGCCTATCTTTGCTACATTCACGAGTGCTGTGATTGTCTAGTTTACGGGAATATTAGCAGTGCAAATTGCAAGAATAGAGCAGAATATGGTTTCTAGTGGTTTAGTGAACTTTTGTGAAGCCATTGAGGCAATCGTTTGCCATATAAACACCGGTTTTATATAGTGCAAAATTTGAGAAATGTGTTTATACACCATGCCGCCGGCGTCATCAAATTTTCGGCGTTTAACTCAGCTGCTTGTTTGTGATTGGTTGCTGGCGGGAACCGCCTAATTTAAACATGCCATGATCCATCATAAGTTCAACTCGATTTCATTTGTTCTAGAAGACAGGAAGTGCAAAATCTAGACCCATCCGCACCATGGAAACGGCTTCCGAAATAAAATAATACTGAAATTAATTTGGAACGTTGTTCAACCACCATTTGTGGCCGCCACTTGTTAGTCCATAACTCCGTTAAAACAGGTTAATAACATCAGTTTTTAATTGTCAGATCATTTTTAGTACAAGCGGCATGCCTCATTCTTTTGCAGGGAGAAAGAGGACAAGGTTAACATCTCCTGGACGGAGGTGGATGGAATAAGAGGGCTACGCTACTTCAAACGAAGTCTGTACACATTCGACGCCGCGCTCTCAGTTGGTGACCCCAAAAAAGACAAGGTCATGACCGTTAGCCTCCCCGTATTGGTAAGGATAAACTTTTGGCGTCTGTGATTGAGAATCCCTATTGTCTGGGATTTCATCATACCTTCAAGCTTTGGAGAGTGACTTTAGGGTCTGTGAAATGATTAAAACTCTTTTTTCTGCTCAAAGACAAGATGTGTGGAGTTTAGGTAGTCCAAAATGCCCAGGAGGCAGAATTCCCCACTGAAGCGAGACGCGCTGATCAATCCATGGCATGAAACCAAACACTGCTGTCGCTTAGTGGGGAAGCATATCACAGTTTCGGTGTCTAGAAGCGACAAAAGTGTCACAAACCCTGGATCCTTCCACGAGAAGCACAAAAACAAAGTTGGCGACATCTCCATAGGTGTTGTAAGCCCCATCTAGAGGCATTTGCACGTGCCCAGTCGTTAGTTGGGCTGCGCGCGTGCTTTCAATTGGTCCAAACTCACATGGAGGTTTCAAGACGAGATTACGGCATTCTTCGTTTTTTACGCAGGCCCTCTCAGCTGCAATTAAGGCAGGTCGCGACCCGACAATGGGCTTTTTGGGCCTCATTAGACTACTCTATAGCCTGGAACTCTTCACCACGCAAACAGTTCACGGGTACCTGTGGGGATATGAGGATCCTCTGCTGGACTTGTGCAGTGCTTGCGACACGAAAAAAGTTGGACTTTTGCACAAGGTGAGCGTTACCATGGTTGTGGAGACCAATCTAGACTCCGACACAACCAATTACCACTTTTCGTGATCACCCCAGCTTGTTTACCAATGTGTGAACCGATATGAGTTTTCGTTACCTCGATTCACCCTTTTTGGTATCAGTAAAATAAAATATGTTATGGTTCTGAAAGTCGCCTTCATTAAATGACGTCGAATTGGTACCAAATACTTCACCCAGATTGGGTCGACGACTCTAGGTCAGGCCAGGAATTTGATTGGACGGCTGCTGACCTTGCCTAAAGACCTTTAAAGGGATTGGCTGAGCTCAGACTATAGTCCAATATGGCTGCGGTCTATACGGGTACTTCACCAATTCAGGTTATAAGCTCCAGATTTGACAAGAAAACGAACTTTGTGAATAAATTAATGACTAGAATACATCGAATAGTGAAGACCTACACTTTTACAGTCGTTTACACTCTCAAAATCGTTGTTTAGTAAATTTCACAAAAGGAAGTAGAATATCGAAACTAACTTCTCCTGAATTTAGGCCCAATTTCCAGCCTATTGTAATGCAAGCATAAGAAGCTCATCTCACGTCTCACACAAGTGCTCGCGATTGAACTAATGAAAACGGTTTTTGTTTAAATCTATTCCTTGCAGCTTGCGTTTCGTTTCAGTCTAACAACACACTACGAGGTCCTTACATTATTGACGCTGGTTTAGAGAATTCCTCCAACACTGGCCAGCTGCTCTCGGTCGATAAAAAACGGTAAGAAATTTCAGTCAACAGTGATTAAATTACAAATGTTGCCTCTTTTTTTTTAAATGCGGACTTTCTCCAATAACAAGCTGATGAGGGCGACTTGTTCATTGCTGTCTTTAAAAGTGCATCAGCCTACTCGATCACAAGCACCTGAAGACCGCGAATCATGTGTTAATTGCCGCGCGTGATTGATTTGAAATTTCCAAGTACACTGGCCTCCGATTGGTTGAGTTTTTCGGTTAAGCTGCTTTGTGTCAACACAGATGTACCCACAAAATTTAGTCCAGCCGGTGTCTCTCAAGCTAAGTCTACAATTGGGAATCACGGGTTGAATTTATTAACAACAAGATGGGAAATTCGACAGATAGCCAATCAAATTTGCCTGATTGAAGGTCATCCACATTTGGTGAAATTGGAGCTTCCCATTGGTAACATTGCGATTCACATCGCCTCGGTTGTGACTGTTTCTTGTGATCTTGAGGTGGACACGATCGAATGATAACCAGTAAGTCGCTGCGTGCCGTCATGGCGGACAGACGGCGTTTGATATGTGAACCAATGAAAAGAGTAGGTTGCCATTCATCCAATAAACCTGATCCATCAGATTTGTGGTGTAAGTGCGAATCAGTACAGCTTATGCGTGGTTCCCAGTGAAAAGGAAACTCTACAACTCACCATTTTTCACACCCAAAATAACCCGTTTTCTGCTGTAAGGGCGTCTTATTTGAGCATCAAGGCATCTCTCGACGCCACTATTGGTTGTGAGGTATAAAGTAAGTTACCTTGCGATGTCCCTCTAAGTAGACTAGATGTGTGTCTGGAAGCAGCGTCAAAGCACAGATTTCATCCAAGGAGGTTTGTGTTCAATCCAGGGTGAAAGGTGTGTGTTTGTTGAGTTGCTGTCATGCACGAACTCGTCGTGTCTCTTCTGATCCTGGGTTCTACACCGCCAAATTACCATCCGCTTCGGTCTTCGTATAAAAAAGCGACTAGCTGAAGCGGTGCTCGCTCGTTTTCGATCAGGTTTGGACCCACGTTCCTTCTTTTCAGTCAGTTCCACTTTGACATGCCAAGCATTTGGGCATTCTCCGCCATCGTTGACGTCGACACCCTTCCACAGTTCCACGAATTTCTTAGTCGTGTTACAGCATCAATCTCTCCCTCTCTCGCTCTCGCTCTGTTCTCGAAGCAGGAGTTAGGCCAGTTCCCGTAGTCTTCATCGAAGTCATCCGCATGGCAGCTTGTTCATCCACGACATCGCATGCTTCAAGTTCTGCGTGAAGGCGCCACCTCGCTCTGTGTCTTCCTGTGTCCCCGTGCTACGCAATCCGAATTCGCCCCAAGCAAGTGAAGCGTCGATGTTTTAAACGTCTGCGTTGAAGTCGGTTTTCGTCTTTGGAATCACGTCGCGCTAGTCCTCCTGGAACTGAGTTTGCGTCGTAGAGGTTGAAGCAGGCTCATTTGAAGTGCTTGGTGGACAACTTGCGGTGGTCGCTCGCTGAATGCATCTTCATCTCCGCAGACCACACAAAGTCGCTGAGTTGCCATGTTGATGGTTTGAGCGCCAGAGGTGTTGAACATCCATGTCGACGTCAGGTACCAGGTGTTCCACTTTGCTGGAGTCGGGGATGAAGCAACTCTTGCCCATTGACAGATCGGGTTCTTGTTGAAGTCAGAAGTGCGATTGGAGTCTAAATTTGAAGTCCAACCTTACGTTTCCACCCTCCCACCGTAGTTTTCTCACCCAATACATCACTCTGAGTTGTCTGGCTTGAAATCACTTCAACCTCTTCGAATTCCGCATCACTTTTTAGCTGTACATTGGGGTTATCGTAGAACGAGGTGGCAGTTATAGTGATTTCTCTACCAGAACTTCTCTCTCTACCCCAGTCAGATGTTTTTTGATGTCGAATTTAAATTGTCACGTTCGAGTACGCACACCAGTCTTAGGTAGTTAAGCTTGTTCTCATTCCCTTTCTATAGATATATCCCTGAATGTGTTTTATTCGCTCGCGGCTGTTAAATATTGGTATGGAGCCACCTTGGCAATCGCAAACCGGATGTCAGCCGCCATTTTGAGTACTACTCACAATCGGCAGCGAATACAAACAAAAGCTGGTCCTTCTCTATTTTCACATTTACCGTGTGTATTTGACATTGTTAAACAGAAAAATGTTTCACTCTGGCCAATTCTTCTATCAGCTGCCGTTGTCCGATCCCACTCCTGTTCCGCTTCCCTGTAAATTAATTTTTGCGCCAAAAATAATCTTGTTTGTTCTGGCCACGAGACCGGCAGTAAGATGGGCTAAATAATTGGCCTAATCTCATCTTGGTGTTTTTTTCCAGCGTGCTAGGGCACCGTTGTAGAGGTGCAGGGTGACTGAAGGCGCATTCCGTGACAGTAGCTGTGTGTACCCCAATCATCCATTATCTTCGTCATCATCATCGTCGTCATCATCTCCTCGAATTCAATTCCAATTCCCCTCACATTCACACTGTTTTCTCCTGCTGCTCAATGTTTACAGTGCCTGGTTGTTGATTGACTTTTTATACACAAATTTGTACCACAAAGTGATTGTCATTAAAACAGTATTTTTTGCCGGGTGTGGACGACGGGTTTTCCTCAGTTGTTCTGGGTTAACGGTTATTGGCAGTAGCGAAAAAGTGCCCAATTCCTGGTCTGAATTAGTGGACTTCCGGTTGCTCCCAATTCTCCTGATTAGATAATACATGCCTACTGATAAACAGTTAGTAGGAGTGTTTGTTCATTTGATAGGGATGCAGAACCAAGGTGCATTCCGAGGGCTTGACACTTTGATGAGTCAAGGATTAGATTAGTAAAGTGAACCAAAGTGCTGTAAAGGTGAATCAGATTTATACATTTCCCTAAATTTATGAATGTCATAACCCTTTTGGTCTATTTTAAGGTCAAATTTCACTATTCTTAATTAACTGATTATCTACACAACACAAATCTACTCTTATCAAATTAAAGAGTTTCATTGTTTGGTAGTCAAAATTACAGAAAATCGGTGCCGTTCAATACGCTGATTTGTGTGTACAATCGATTTTTAGTTGACTCTTAATTGCTTCTCCCAATGGCGTTTCGGTTTCTGTAAGTGAATTTTATTCTTATTGATTTGACTGTTAAATCTAACTGACGTGTAGTCGATTTTTTCTATCAACCTAATGTATAATTTTTGGGGACTAAGTATTTATGCGTAAATCGCATCCTGTTATATTAACATTGGTCGAGTTGACGGTTCCTTTTTCGTGAATTCTCGAAGCAAATTTAGGCATTGTTGGGGATTCTGCGTTACCGGTACAACACTCATCGAGATTTTGAAAAGGTTCCGTTACTAGTCGTGTTTAGGCACACCAACTTAGTATTCAAATCGGCCGCCTGCTTCTCATTGGTCCAGTCATCACCCTGCTTAATGCTACTCCGAAATGCACTCAAAGTCGCTCACAACATTCATAAATACGCACGTCTCCTGAGAGGTTAGGCTAGACGGACAATTCCAGTCACACATCGCCGTATATCAGTGACCAATAAGAATGCACTACCTTGAGCAGAACCATCCAATAAGCACTTGCTACTCCTAATCTCTGATCTCATTAACCCCGAAAGGTCAACGAGAGCTTCTACACCACATACACTGACTTAAACAAGTGATTCTAGATGTCAAGTGCCACAATTTAAACCTCCTGAACACGATGGTTTATTGGATCGTCGAAGCAATTTCAATCACTAGCTGCAAATAGTGTCCGTTTTAAGTACGGTATTGTGCGGCTATCATGCTTTATAGAAAAAGACGAATTTCCATGGGAAGTATCTGTCCAGTTGGGATCCGCATGTCGCAACCAATCGCAGTCAAGATTGGATCCGATTGGCTGAGATGAAGGACGTCTTTTACTGTAAAGCTAGGAGATCTAATTTTTGCTGAGGTGATGAATTTGACGGTAAATTGGCAGTTAACACAGAAGTTACCTTCAAAATTGGTGGGTTTAAGTAATAAAAAAGTATTTGCAAAGGTGTTAGACTTGTCGAAATTGTTTGGGCGAAGCCAAATATCAATTACGAAAATGCCAAACAATTGAGCCAACTACCTATCAACCGCTACCTGGTTAGGTAAATTAAATACATTGCAAAGTCTCTCGCATTTTTTACGGACACATTGCTCCTGGCTAAAATCTGCTCTTTCGGTCGACATAATTCAGCCAATGACCGAACTCCGTTGATGGATCTCAAGTGCTTACATGTGTTATCGTTTGAAAAAATCGATTTTTTGTAATGAACATCCCCCCTCCACACTACATGCGATCTGCTAATCTGAAAAACAAAATAACGATGATACTGCCAGCAACGCAGCCAATCCAAGTCATCCTATTTCACTTGGCCTGGATAAACCAACCAAATAATTTGGTGGAAGAGCCCTTTTGTCAAGTTGGATGGGTAAATTCCAGAATAATTCAGCGCGTTTTTTTTAAAAAAAGAGTCTTTTGCGTTGATAAAATACAAAATCAATTTGAGTGGTTTTAACTTCACGTTTCAAGCCTAACTGTTCATTCTCCACTTGGAGGCTGAATTAGCACAAGCTCATTTGGAAATAAGTTCAGTGATTGGCTAATTTTCCATTTGTACGCCGCATTTGTTTATAACTTGCCATGATGCAAAGCGGCTTTTCTACATCCGTTTACATCGATGGGCCATTTTGGTAATAATGCCGCCTTTCTAATCGCTGTCATAATATTCGAAAGTGCATCCGACAGATAATACGCCGATAAGCGAATCCCATTGGTTCGAGATCTAACAGTTATTTGTTTACATCAACTGAAAAGTGCGCGCCGAAATTAAGAGGCTGACGGGATGCTTAAATTTTGCTTGAGGATAATTGGATAATTGTTTTGCAAAATACACTATTTTACAGAAAAAAAAAACAAAATTCTGAGCCATCCAAATTTTTTCATACAAACTATGCTCTTTTCTATATTTTGCAATTTTAAATTCAGGGCCCTGTTCGTGGGTCGGAAATATTGTCTGAACAACCAACACAGCATAATTACCACCTACTTAAAAGGTTTAAGTACGGGTTTTTTGACAAATAAAAAGAGAATGCAGTTTGTTTGCCTTTATTTTGTACGAAAGATGCACACACAGACCAAACCAAACAAAAATATTATCTTTATCCAAAAAGGGAATATAACAAACGCGGAGAGTTAGAGAGTATCCCGGATCACATTTTTGCTTCCTTTGGTATCTGGCAGCTGTAGGGAAATACAACACACGACATTCACCTTCGTTTTGATTGCGTCGATATCCTCACATTAATATAACAACATAAAGAACATGAAATTTTAAAAAAGTGTAAAATCGGAACTACTTATAAATAGTCAGTAGGAATACCCAGTCAACCTTTTGATCGTGGGAACGTTAACTAAGAGCGTTGATAATTTTAGCAAAAGAACTCACAATTTCACTGCTGTCTTCGCTGATATCCCCAAAAAGGTGTCTAATGGAGGTGCCCTCTTTAGTCCCGCCCCGTAGGCCGTTAAACCACCTTAAAATGCGATACCTCATCTCACATGGCACCACGACGGAGCCAATGGTGAAGAGCACAAAGAACGCGGCGCTGCAGAAGAACACGATGTAGAGGATTTGTCGAATTTGCTCTGGCTGGATTTCCAGGCTGTGATGCAGCACCTCCAGCGTATCCACGCTGCCGCCTTCGTTCTAGGAAGTAAACGTTTCCTATTGGGGGGCTTTCGGCTTGGTGTTTGTGTGCGTTTTTTGTGCAAGTACTAATGGAATTTTACACACACACACTAGGAAAGGACAATCTGTCACATGATTGGTCAAGCTCACTTTTTCAAACCACGCGATTGGCAGGTACACACGATCAGTGACGTTGAGGAATACATCCCTGAAGTAAGCACCAATTCAACTGGTTAGTTGTGCACAAACGACGCAGAGAAGTACAGCCGTTGACTTACGCTAGGTCGGGAGTTCGTTCGATGTAAGCGTTAATCTGAAGTCGAAGCTGCGCCTCTACTGAAATGCCAGTTTTCTAAAACGAAATGAATCGAAGGTACAAATTTACGCTCCAATCAGGGTTGGAGAAAAATCGATACATGGGTATTTCGTATTGCCGCCTTAAGCACAGGTCGGCATAGTAGTCTTCATCCTCATTGGTTTGTGGCGAACACCGGACGAACACAAATCAATCGATTTTTTCGTGAATGCACGTCACGCAGCTGCGTGCGCTCAAAGATCGATACTTGCTATCCATGCACACACACCCACCGCTACTGCATCAATAAATTAGTTGAACTACGCGTCATCCGCATTTTCTGACTCCCACTTTCGGTCGGGCCTTGTCAACGTAGATTGTCGGCCCTCGTGTATTTCCCCAAAACCGCACTGGAGCCCCCTATAGGTTACACTCAAGGTCAAGTAGTGGTCAACTTTACCTAGGGCGATAAGACCCATGAAGAAATAATCCCCAGAGGAAGGTTGTAATCTAGAAATTAAGTTGCTCATTTTCGACAGCTGCTGCTGGCTACAGGCTTTCCGATTGTACAGGTTTCAAGGTCAACTGTGGTGCATATCGGTGACCTTCAGTGATGAAATAGGTGGCGAGAGGAAACCCGCAATGGTATGCAAGGACACAATGTTTTGCACCAGACTAATCAGACTATAAAACAAATTGGTTTTGTGTGAAACTTCTGAACCCGTGAGAACACTTTAGCATGTGGCGCCGTTTAGGTAGTGAAAGCAAACGAAAGGGAGACAAAGGAATCAAGTGCACTATCGCACAAATCGTAATAAATGTGGGAAATTTTTCCGCGACTGCTGTAAAGAGTGTACTTTATGGCGACTTGAAGTTCTCCTGATGCTACTTTAAGTCAGGTTTTTTCAATCACACATGTTTCATTCGTGGAAGGTAAGTTAGTGACCGCGTCGTAGCAATGAGCTTCACTGTCTCAATAGAAAATGCGCGCCGGTTTGTGCCCTTGATGTGTTAATACATCCCGTACGCCAGCTTGAATTAGAATGACCTTGGGCCGACCTATGAGAGGGGTTCAATTAGGACCAATCATGTGCCGGCATGTGAAATGATCATTGTGCACATAGGTGAATCACTAACGCGTTGAAACAATGGCAATTTGGCAAGTGGGGCACATCGAAGCATGAGTTTCGGCCCGTTTGGTGCAATGGATGTCGAAATGTGATTGCCTGGATAAATTTGCCCAGTTTTGCATCACGTGACGTTATCGTTAATAGTTCGGCACGCGCTGAACGCGGTGTCCGTTGTGGCTACAGGCAGGGTTGGTACAGGCCAGTGTTATGGAAGACATGCAAACAGCGACATTCACATAATTGCAGTGAATCCCATGGATTCACGTCCAATAACTCAATCGTCGCAGCTTTCAACACACGTCCCCCCGTTAGTCACGTGGGGCCGCCGGTTCATTAACCCCTCTGCATGTACCACCACCACCACCTTCTTCGTGTGGTAAATGGCCTCAACATGATCAAGCAGGAAACACGCCCTACCGGTTCAACAAGAAGTTTGACGGTGTCGATGCGTGGATTGGCCTTGCGGAGTCCCTTGAACGGCGCGCGCAGGTCGGCGTGGCCGTGGAGGAAGTGCGGCATCGAGGCGTAGATGGGCGGCGAGATTTGGCCGGGCAAGGAGCACTGCGAGATGTCGAAGAGGCCTGCTGGCGGACACGGCGGTCCTGACACCGTGATCGGACAGTAGGTCTCGTGACTGCCGTTGAATGTGGAGGCGTCGGGCTGGAATTCAAGGACCTGGAGGAGACGTCGGGAGGGCATAGAGACACGCACACACACAGTAGACACCTAACTACGCACACATTTTGGTTGTATCAGAGACCACAATGTGGAAGTGATGTATGGCGAGTCGGTGTAAGCGAAAATAGACGAAGTGGTGACTAAATTTGCGAGATGACTTCAGCAATTGTGGATATTTCATTATAGACCTCTGGCATTCCTCTTCATCATCCAATCATCCAAACTGGATGCGTTTCAAGCAGGAAAGAATGAGTTGGAAAATACCGAAGATGAAGAGAGAAATTGACATTTGATAATGAGTCGAGTAAGCTGTGAGCGATAACTTGTCCTCTAGGAATTCTGAATAAATAACTTTGATAAATCCAAAATATTTTAAATCTTCTTTTTTCAAATTACTCATTAGAGAATAGAAAAATCAATGACTTAGTCAAGTCAACTCATTAACCATTTTAAGATCTTGAAATGTCTCAAACATAATCACTGAATGAAAAATGTTTGTTTTAATGGTGATTAAAATTAGCGGACATTTAAATGTGCTTACTTGTGTGTGATAGCAAGGAAAGCTCTCATTCATCGAAAGCAATGAGTGGGATATTACACAAAAAAACACATTGCCATCCAGCATTTATTTCCGCAATCTCGATTAATTTTCGTGATCAGTGGAGATTTGTGGACATCGAGGCATCAGTTTAAGTCAAATGACTTTGGTTTTCACATATATGTGTATTGTGGCATCCGAAATTTATGAAATTTTGATCGAGATGATAGTGTGAGCGCACATGTGAGTTTAAAAACTGCGACAGTTGAATGCCAGTGGTTGTTGAACTGAGGCAAAACGATTTAACTAAGCAAAATTAATCCGTGAGTGAGATTGTAACCACTGACTTCAGGTTTAAAATTAGTTTACGCAGGATCTTCGCAACGCATATCTCTCTTCAGTATTTATGATTTGTTTAGTAAACACAATTAAAACCCTCTGCACACTTAATTTCCTCGCGATACTAAAAAGGCGGAAGTTTGATGAAAGCAGCCAATCACGACACACTGTCGAAAATATCTGCTAAAGGCGCATTTATTCCATCTAACCCAAATTAGCTGAAATATGCGTTACGAATCTGAGCTCAAATCAGGAATCTTGCAATTAGAAATCCTGGTCTTATTCTGCATGAGAATTAGAAGTGAGTTAAAATGCTACTGAGACGACACGATGATGCTGCGTTTAATAATAAGTGTCCAAACTTAGGCAGAACTCCCGCAAAATTCAAATACTCAGCCAACCAAAACGCGACCTTGAGCCGGTCGTATAGTGAAGGGTGTGTGAAGCCTTTTGCTGTCATTTTCAGTGGCCGGCACAACATTGGCACGAAGACCTCCTTCAAATCACCCAATCGCAGGCCCCGCGGAAGCCGAGAACCGTCTAAAAGTTGGGCAAAAGTTGGCAAGTTTAAAAGTCCTCTGGGAGCGAGTTTTGTTGAAATTCATCCCACCTGTTCCCTTGATCGTATTGGCCTCCTTGGTTGACCAGATGTCCAGTTGCCTACAACCAAAAAGGAAACATTGGTTATACAAAAATTCCGCCCGATTAGGTGAGAGGTAGGCAAATACGTTGCGTGTTGACGCGCGATAACCAGGCGGTTATTGAGTGACCAAAACAAAAATGGTAACGGTAACCCTGAGGCTTCAAAAAGCGGCATCTTTAACCTTTAAAGAAACTTCTTACATAAGCACGTCTAGGGTACTTTTAGTAAATTGCATTGATTCAAGCACATCGACCGACTGTCGCAAATTCTACGATAACTCCAAAAGAGAGCTAAAAATGATGCAGAATTTAAAGAGGTTGAAGTGATTTCAAGTCAGATAACTCAGAGTGATGCTTTGCTTAAATTCACTGCCGATTGTGAGCAGTACTCAACATGGCGGCTGTCATATTCGGTTTGCGATTGCCAAGGTGGCCCCGCACCAATACTTAACAGCCGCGAACGAATCAAACACAGTCAGGGATATATCTATAGAAAGGGAATGAGAACGAGCTTAAGTACTTAAGACTGGTGCGTGTACTTGAACGTGAGAATTTAAATTTGACATCAAAACACATCTGACGGGGGTAGAGAGAGCGGTTCTGGTAGAGAAATCACTAAAACTGCCACCTCGTTCTACGATAACCCCAATGTACAGCTAAAAGTGATGCGGAATTCGAAGAGGTTGAAGTGATTTCAAGCCAGACAACTCAGAGTGATGTATTGGGTGAGAAAACTAC